GACCCTGTGTTTTCTGGCCATGACCAGGGGTCTAACCTCCTGGGGTTAGACTTCCTCCTGGAGGCCTGGACCAAAAAGGTTATCGTATGAAAAGGGTAAGGCATAGAGGTGCAGCTTTGACGGTGAATCATCTGACCAGGTTTTCAACCACAATGCCCTTCTTGCCGAATTTACCAGGGTAGAAGTTCTTGCGGATAGTTTGACCGATTTGGCCGAAGTATCTGCAAAAAAAACCTCCTGCTTTGAACAGTAGAGGAAAAGATCTTAATATCCGTTGCCTGGAATCCCTGCCAAGAGATGCATTGGTAACCAAGTAAGCCAGCATTCAAGATTTCTGGAGACACAGGTGGCCGACAAAGCTGGTTTTAAGCTGATGGAAGTAGAATCCCAGGCTATTCGGAGCAAAATTTCCTCCCTCTTATCCATGGGATCCTTAAGAGCCCCCATATCCTCAAAGGGTAGGTCCATCTTCAGATCTTAGATAAGGGGTGTCCAGCTTTGGAATCTTGTTCCATGGTTGGGACACATCTTCTTTAAAAATAAATTTCCTTGCAAGACTACCTGAAAAAAGGGCTTTCTTTCAGGGTTCTCCCACTCCAGCTTGATTGTATCAACCAGAGAACTATGAACTGGAAAAACCCTAGCCTTTTTATCATGTAGGCTTTGGTACATGAGATCATAATAGATAAATGTACATCCTCCTCCTCAATTTCTAAAATTTCATAGATAGCTTTAAGGAGGTCATCTACATCAAGGGTCAATTTGTATCTAGAACCCCTGGAGCTGCAACCTTCTCTATCATCCTCCTCTGTGCCTGACCCTGCCTGTAAGGAAACATGGGATCCTCTTCTGGGTCTTCCTCCCCCCGGCTAAATGACTCCAATACAGGAGTTGTACTCAGGGGCCCCATAGGAGTCTGCGTCTTGTCCAGTAAGGATATAAACAACTGAAACGTAATTGCTATATCATCCTCAATAGAAGTGAGGACCCTATGACAGGCAATAAATGACTCATCAATTAGGCTATTCACACATCTTCGGCATAAGGGCTTTTCCCAGGTTGAACACAACTTGGAAGCGCAAACTGCACACTTCCTTTTGGGGGCCCGATTCTGTGTCTTGTCTTGGGCTTTAACCTACAATCAAAACACAATACAGAACATAATAAGCTCAGACTTCTACACTCCAGATACCACTGTGGTGGGGGAGAAAAAAAAAATAAAAATAATATATAATATTCTCACCGCCACCTGAGTCTCACCTAAAAAAACTCTCAGACTGGGAAAAAAAACACTCCCAGGACCAGCCAGAGGGAAAACACAATGTACCCAAGCTTACCTGAGAGGAGCTATAGCTTGAGGAACCAGAGTCCGCCTGCTGGGACCAAATCACCCATGAGACTAATCACCCATGTCTAGAAGTAACATCTTCTCAGCCTGGCCGATAAAAGCAGACAACAACCAGTATCTGGAAGCCAGATGCCTTAAGATATCAGCGGTCACCTGGGAGCTCCAGGATGCTGCATCGCTAAAGTAAAAGGTAAATACAGCTCTGCTTTAACCACTTCCACACCACCCTATAGCAGGAATACTGCTACAGGGCGGCATGGGTGCACAAAATCACATATATATGTGTGATTTTGCAGTTCCGGGTAGGGGGCTGGCATGTGCGCGCCCTACCAGCATCGCCATTTGCGGTCTTGGCTGTCAATCACCAGGCGGCGATTACAGTATCTCTGACAGGGTAGAGACCTGTGTATAAACAGCACAGATCTCTCCCGTCAGCTTCTGCATACCAGAGATATACAAAGCAGTGTGCATACAGTGAAGCACACACAGCCCACGGAGTGAAACAGCACACAATTAACCCTTTGATCACCCCACATGCTAACCCCTTCCTGCCCAGTGCCATTAGTACAGCGTCAGTGCTTTTTATTAGCACTGATCATTGTATTGGTGTCACTGGGGATGTCAGTGACACCAAGTCAGTTCACCCCAGTGTCAGAATGCCCGCTGCAGCCCAGCTACAAATCACTGATCACCGACATTACTAGTAAAAAAAAAATTCTAGTATATATACCGCCATCTGTAAACGCTATAACTTTCACACAAACCAATTAATTTAAACGTATTGCGATTTTTTTTTTTTTTTTAGCAAAGACATGTAGCAGAATACATTTCAGCCTAAATTTGACGCAATTTGATTTTTTTATTGGACATGTTTAATAGCAAAAATCAAAAAAATTCTCAAAATTGTCTGTCTTTTTTTGTTTATAGCGCAAAAAATTTAAAATTGCACAGGCAATCAAATACCACTGAGAGAAAGCTCTATTTGTGGGGGAAAGAAAATTTTCATTTGGGTGCAGTGTTGCATGACTGTGCAATTGTCAATTAAAGTAACGCAGCGCTGTATCGCAAAAAATGACCTGGTCAGGAAGGAGGGTAAATCCTCAGGATGACAAGTGATTAACCGCTTCCATACTGGGCACTTTTACCCCCTTCCTGCCCAGGCCATTTTTCAGGTTTCAGCGCTCTCACACTTTGAATAACAATTGCGCAGTCATACAACACTGTACACAAACTAAAATTTTATCATTTTCTTCACACAACTAGAGCTTTCTTTTGGTGGCATTTAATCAACACTGGGGTTTTTATTTTTTACTAAATTAACAAAAGAAGCCCAAAAATTTTGAAAAAAAAAATCCACGTTTTTCTTTGTTTCTGTTATAAAAGTTTGCAAATAAATAATTGTTCTTCATAAATTTAGACCAAGATGTATTCTACTACATGTCTTTGGTAGAAATAACCCAAATCAGTATTTATTATTTAGTCTGTAGGAAAGTTATAGAGTTCACAAACTATGGTATATATCTGAAAATTGATCAATCCTGAAGTACTGAGGGCCAATCTAATTTCTTGAGGTCCAAGAATGTCAGATCAGTACAGATATCCCCCAAATGACCCCTTTTTGCAAAGTAGACAGTCCGACGTATTTCATAAGATGCATAGCGAGTTTTTTTTGAAGTTGTAATTCTTTTGTCATAATTTTTCAGAAAATGAAAAAATTCAAAAGATTTTCACTATTTATTTTTTCCACATACTGTCACCAGTGCAGTACAGCGTCATCATATAACTGGCATGGCGCTGATCATGGACACTGACTGGTGACACACGAAAAAAAAAATTATTACTTTTTTTTCTCTTTTAAGATTTTTTTTCATATTTCACCATGACCAAAGTAGTATAATGTTACCATAGTAACATTGTACTACTTTGGGGAAGTGATCAGTATTTATTTTTTTTTTTTTTTACACAATTTGCTCATAGCAAAGAATTACTGTGCTATAAGCAAGCATTTACCTGAATGACATCGATTCATTCAGGGTTTTTTTTTTGTGCTTAGCTGTGATTTGGCCACGGCTAATCACCTGACACAGCTGGGCTGTGATTGGCCCAGCTTTGGCATGTGATTGCTGTGACCATTCACAGCTAGACACACTAGTATACAATGGATGGCATGAAAGGAAGCCATCCATTGCATGCAACTGTCATGTGACCTGCTGTGATTGGTCACAGCAGGTCACATGGTACTGAAAACCGGGTCGGTACACAGATCTGTCATCGGCCATGTCCAAAGTACATGGCTGGTAACAGACTGCGCCGCAGAGTGGCTGTGCGCATGCTTGAAAGGACGCCATATGGCATCCACCCGGAGGGACGAGGTGTTTTGCCGGCTGTCTTTGTGCTATTGGCTGAGCGGGAACTGATTAATGTACATTTTACGGTACGCTGGAGTCAGGCAGGTTGGTGTATTTTAATGCGGAAGAGACATGAGTCTTTGTGCACACTGGACATTCTGATAACATTAGCTGTGTAAAATGTTTAAAACACAAGTTTTTCAGTTTTTGCATTGGCTTTTAGCAGTGGTTTCCCACGTTTGCGTTTTTTAGCGTTTTTGTTTTTAACCAAAAACTTTTTTATTGGAAAAAAATCCAAAAATGCCAGTTTGCAGCGTTTTAACGCGTTAGAGCGCTTTTACAGCTAAAAAACGCCTCTAGAAACCCACTAGTCCTGGGTTTTTTTCCAGCCACAAAACATTGATTACAGTCTGTGTACATGGACACATACGACAACATGCTGGGGAGTTTACTAGCTGTAGAAAAAAATTTCAAAAGCCAAAAACATGAAGTGTGCATGAGGACTGACAGTGGATTTACTAAAGGCAAGTAACCTTTACATTTTACAAGTGGAGTCACGTTTGTTTTCCCCAGATCTGTGTAAATGCAACAAAGCTGCTGATTTCCATCATCCAATCGTCTGCAAGCAGAGACTTTGTTTTTTTTTCTCCTTGCACTTGATTGGGTATTCTTTACAAAGTGAAGCTTCCCACATTGACTGCACTCTGAGGAAAATGAATGCAGCTGCATTTGCGGAGTGCAAAGTCTATTTGCCTTTAGCAAGTCAACCTCATAGCAGGTATGCTGTTAGAACTGCCTAGTGGTAAACGGATACATTTTGCCTTTAGTTCCACAGTAAAGTAGCAGTCTTGTAACATTAGCAGAAGCTTGGATAAGAGGAGGTGATGTGAATAGCACACACGTGCTACAATATTTTCCTCCCTCATTGCCTGATGTTAATACAGTGTTATACGGGACATACACACGCCAGGACAGGCACATCCCCTCACACAAAGGCGTGCCCCCTCCACGCGCTCTCAGCCGGCGTCTCTTCTGGAAAGGCCGCGTTCTATGTGATGTCGCTTTATTTTTTGAAGGCAGCCAGCAGCCAATGAGCGGGCGCCTTGCTTTCCTGAGCAGCCAATCGGCGCGCGTGTTATTGTTCGGCGTCCCGCTCCTCCGTCGAACACAGGACGGCCGTTATTAGCACTCAGCTTGCTTCCTTTCCTCTCAAAGAACAATTGGCGCCTTCCTTCCTGGCTCTGTTCGCCGCGCAGTGAGCATCCCCGGGCGCCCCGTGTCTGTGTCTCCTGTATGTCAGCGCCATGCCGGAGTTTCTGCAAGACCCGACCGTTCTCACCAAAGACAAGCTGAAAACTGAGCTGGTGGCCAACAACGTGACTCTGCCGGCCGGGGAGCAGAAAAAAGATGTCTACGTGCAGCTCTATCTACAGCACCTGACCGCCCGCAACCGTGGCACCCCCGACTTCTCCAGCGACGAAGAGAGGGAGGCCACCCCGGTGCGGGGCAGAGGGCGCCCGCCTGGACGGGTGAGTGACATGGGGGGAAGAAGGCTTCACACTGACCTACGCCACCTCCTAGCCGTCCATAACGCAGCGCGCGGTTACTTATAGCAACCAGGCTAGGACACTGCCACCCGACCTACTGGAGGCTGAACTCGGGCTGCTATTGGTTACCGCCGGCTGTCTATTGCATCGCTTTGTTTACCAACCCCGTGCGTGCTCTAAGCTCCCTACTGATCGCAGTCCTTGGCGGGGGGGAATGAATGAATAAATGAATGAGACTGTGGCGTTAGCGCCTGACTACTCCTAAGGACGCTTCCTTCTATCAGTCCAGGCCTCCAGTGCTTCCCCCTTATCAGCCCATGCCTGATCAAGAGTAAGGAGCAGAGAAATCGAATCCTTATTGTCTGATCACTCATCTATTGTCCTCCTGTATTCATGTAGTTGTACTAAAAGTGGGATCAGAAATGCTGTATGGGGAACTTATGTAATTCTCCGTAATAGCCACCAAAACAAGTCTTGCTGTCACTTGGGCTAAACTTTAGGCCTTGTTCATGGAATTTACTGACATGACTGTCAGATCCTGCTGTCGGAAGATCCTAAAGTACTAGCGTTTACAGCAGGGATTCTCCCTCAGGGTTCCATGGAGTCCTGGGATTTCACCAGGTGTTGCTAGGGGTTCCTTGAGCAATTTCAGCCTTTTAGATAAGTTCCCACTGACACCTATGATCTTTTTAGCTGTCTATAAGGTGGGGGGATTCTTCCTACTGACCAAAAGTGTAAGAGGCATTCTTCCCACTGATCATGAGTTGTGTACATATATAGTAATCTTTAGCAGGGGTTCCCTGAGTGGAAATTTATTTCAAGGGTTCCTCTGTGTTGAAAAGGTTGAGAAAAGGATGTACAGTATTCTACAAGGACAATTGTATAGAAATGAAGAGCAGCTCGCTGTGAGTCAGGTAAAGGGCCAGGTAGGAGTAGAGGATGTTATGCTTGTTTGCCACTATTACAGACCCCAGCTGTACGCCCCAGGGCTGCGTCTGTATCATCTGGCACTGTACGTCTGCTACTTTAATAGAGCTCCATCTGTAGGAATTGGTCAGAAAGTTCCCGCCTTTTTTTTTTTTTTTTTTTTTCCTTCGGATGCTCTAGTCTGATAACTTGTACTGTGACTGTATGCCTGTGTTTAGGAGACCAGCAGTTATGTGCACCAAACGCTGCTATGCTCTGTTCTTACCCGACTTGATTGAGATATATATATCTCAATATCAGTGTGTGTGTGTTTTGGTGCTAGTGTCAAAGCCAGGCACATTATTATTTTTTTTTTTTTTTGTCATTTTGTTTGCTAGATGACAGTGTGAAAATATAACAAGTCATTTGCATGGATTGCAGTTTACTGGAAGCTGTTTACACAGTTACTATTGTACACATTTGCCTTTGTCGCACATGTGAAGTAATGTGATCAGACCTTAAAGCTGAACGTTACCCTAAACAACTTGACAAAAAATAATACTCTTTAGGAAGGAACATACCTTTCACATGGATAATTGTGCTACCAAAATTGTGTACTCTCTAAATTGCCTCCAGTATTGTTGCTGTTTCTTCTTGTTGGAAGCTGCCATTTTGCTGAAGCCCAGAATCCCTGAGCAGAAGTAAATCTTTAGACTGTCAGCAGATCGGTGTCTAAATTTTCAGCACTTTGCTGAAAAATAGAGAGCAACTGAGCATGTTCAGATCTGGATGAGACAGTGTTTTATTGGACTTTTATCCCTTTCGCCGCCAGAGCCTTTTTTGCACACATTTTAAAAATTATTTCAGGCCTGGCGATTACACAAACTCCCCAAACAACATATTTTCTGAAAGTAGACACCCTAGAGAAGTAAATAATGGTAGTTCCAAATTTTTATTCACCGGATATTACCACAAATGTCTAGGGAATGCAAAATTTCAGTAAAAAAAAACACACTAAAGTGAATTTTAGGGCAATCAAAAGCAATAAATTACCTACATTTTCGGTAAAATAAAATAATGCTGTTGCTCCGAGTAAATAGATTCCAAACCTTAAATTTGTGTGCTCCTATGAAATAGTGACAAACTTGGGTACCCTATATTTTCTATAGGCGATGCTTAAAAAGCCCCTATAGGTCACCAGTTTAGTGTTACGGAGGAGGTCTTGTGCTAGAATTATTGCTCTCCAGCGCGCATGGCGATATGTAAGGTGTATCACAATTGACGGTTTCGCTTGTAGGTGCCCCTTCATGCGCGTTTATGTTCGTGCGTTTGGGGGGGATTCCACTTTTTTTTTTGGGGGGGGGGCATGTTATGTGTTTGGGTGTGACTTTATTTTTTTGCAAGCAAAAAAGAAAGTTTTGGGTTTTTTTTTTTTTTTTTTTTTTTTTTTTTTACAATTGCATAGGGTACACAAAGTCCCCTGAGTAACAATTTTTAGGTGACGGGCTCTCTTTATTGAGACATGCAGGGTCTAACCCCTAGTTCACATAGCTGTGTTCCTGCTGTCCACATTTTGCATGGGCACGACGAGAGCCCATTCATTTGAATGGCCTTCCGTGGCCCAGGACACGCAGGGAAGAAGTCCCTGCACGTCTTCTAAAAAACGCAGCCCGCACGGGAACCTCGGTTCCCAGTACGGTTGCGATTTCCAGTGTGGGCGGCGTGCTATTAGAATTAATGGCACCCGCATGCGTGTCCACTTTCTTGTGTGGGTGGTGCGGCTGCACAGATTTTTGGGCAGATCTGCAGTGGCACCACCTGCACATATGTGATCCTAGTCTTAAAGACCCTGCATGTCTCCTCTGGGCTCCACTAGATGTATTGCAATGCAGATCGCATTGCAATACATGTATCCCTGACTATTCTAGCTGGGGAAAGTGACAGCCGTGACCCACAAGTGACATCATACATGTCGCCTTCTGGGTCACAGAAAATAGGGGAGGAGAACTAGAAACCACAGCACATTTTGGCATGATGGGAACCATGTATCGCTGTGCGGTTTCATTGCAGCTGCAATCTTGGAAAACTGAAATTAATTAGCTGCTTTGCCCATGCAAAAGTGCCTGCAGGGAAACTGGTCTAGTGTGAACATATCATTCGGGTCTATCCACATCAGCTGCTGTATTACAAAGCCGCTGGTGTGCTATGCTGTAAGATCACTACATTGCTGACGCTCAAATTGCAGCACATCGTACTGTTCACCTTTTCTGAAAAAAAAAGATCCAGCCTACCATACTCTTCTCTCTCTTTTTTTTTTTTTTTTTTTTTTTTTTATGGCACACACCACTGCAGTGTGTTGGTGTGAACCAACCAGGTGTGAGAGGAGGCCTTTTGACTGGTCTTGTGTTTGGACTGTGCTCAAAAACCCTAAGCCCTACCACACCTGGTGTGAATAGACTTCAAAAGGGCTTGTTGATATGCTGTAAATTGAAATGCTGTGGCCTGCATAGGTCACTGCTGAATGCCTGGGCAGATAGAGAACAGTTGACACAAAATCCCTGAAAGACTTTACCCTCTACAAATCTGCCTTTCTCAAATACAACTCCAGCCTCCACGCTGCTAAGCAAACCTACTACAACACTCTCATCAAGACCCTCTCATCCAATCCTTGTCAACTCTTTTTTACCCTTTAATTCCTTACTCCACCCCCCACTGCCTCCACCCACCAACTTACTTACTGCACAGGAGTTTGCCAGTCATTTCAAGAAAAAGATCGACACGATTCTTGATGAGATCTCCAGTGTCAAGCTTCCTTCTCCAACCGACATACCAGGCCCAACACCACACTTAACACTCTCCTCCTTTGACCCTCCTACCACCAAGGAAGATAATTAACTCCTTTCCAAGGCCCACTTCACCACCTGTCCCCTCATGACTGTTGCAGCCCTCCTTCCTTCCTTTATCCTATACTCTCTAGCCCACATCTTCAACCTCTCTCCATGGGCACCTTTCCCTCCCCGCTCAAACATGCACTGGTTACCCCCATACTCAAAAACCCTCGATGAACCCCACCTGTTTGAATAACCTAACACTCATCTTCCTGCTCCCGTTTGACTCCAAACTTCTCGAGCGCCTTGTTCACAACCGTATCAAATGCTACCTCACCGACACCAACCTTCTTGATCCCCGACAGTCTGGCTTCCGCCCACTACATTCCGCAGAAACTGTCCTACTAACACCAATAGCCTTTACTGTATACTCATACTCCTTGACCTTTCCTCTGCCTTTGACACAGTCGATCACCCGCTCCTCCTTAGTAAACTCGACTCCATCGGCCTCTGTGACTCTGCTCTCTCCTGGTTCTTCTCTTACCTTTTCTCAGCGCACACATTCAGTGTCACATACAACTCCTCCACTTCTCTCCCTCTTTCCATTGGGGTACCCCAAGGTTCTGTCCTTGGGCCTCTTATTTTCTCTCTACACCTCCTCCCTGGGCCAATTGATAACCTCCCATGGCTTCCAATACCACCTCTATGCTGATGACACCCAGATCCATCTCTCCACTCCCCAGCACACCCCCTCAATCTCCTTGCGTATCACAAATCTACTAAGCGACATATCGGCATGGATGTCACACCACTACCTTAAACTCAATCTTTCCAAAACTGAGCTTGTAATATTTGCTAACCCCCCCCCCCCCCCGCAATCATGTCATCCAATCACTGCCTATATCCTGCTGCCTCAGCCTCTAGTATGCAGCTGGTGGTTGCTGCAGAGCCCATTCCAGGAACGTGTGCGATGGGAATATGGACTGTTACCCATTGGGAGAATAACCCTTTTCTGTTCTAGTGGCAAATTTCATACGCAACTTCACTTTCTTTGACACTGACATTGGAGATCAGGACAATTAAGGTAGCCATATGATACTTTAATTTCAGTCATTTCCTGCTGACTCTGAAATTAGAATTGCGGGTGGCCTTATGGGCTCCTCCAAAAGTCTATTTAAAAATTGTTGTCCAAACAGGAAAATGACTGCTTCTAATCAGTTGCAGTCACTGTTGGGGTGTTTAGACAGCCATGGGTGCTGCTGATATCTGAATACAATAGCTGGGATAAGATTTTCCGTCATCCAGGTTGTTTAGCATGGAAGAATCAATTTC